CTTTTTTTTACCAAAATGATCAGCGAAAAAAGCTCTACAAACTGTGATGCATCAAAACATTTTCTGAGATCTTCGTGTTTTTTGTGGTTGAATACCCATGGAAATACCCATATAACATGTTATATACATTTAGAATGTAATCGAGGATCAACAGATATTTGTCTTGATTGGCGTGAAATTTGTGATGGAAAAGTCGATTGTATTGAAAACCCTGTCGATGAAATCGGTTGTTTCGAACTTGAAATGAACGAATGCGAAGAAAACGAGTTTCGCTGTCATAATGGACTATGTATACCAGAAGAATTTATGGGTGAAGGTCCATATTATATTGATTGTTTAGATGCAACTGATGAAGACAGTCTTCGTCTTGATTTTAAACCAGGCTTATCTTGGCATTATGTATGCTCATCTCAACCTGGATTTTGGTGCGAAGAAACAGACTATGCAAAACGCCCTCGTTTTTATGTATGTGGTGATGGAACACGTAGCGATTTAGACATATTTTATAATCATACTTACACTATCACGAGTGGAGGAGCGTGTACGAATTTAAGAGACATATATACTAAGGAATCTTTGAATGCTTATGTTGAAGATTCTGCTTTATCATACGAATGTTGGTTTTTTCTAGAATGTATTGCAGGTGACTCTTCGACATTAGATTGTTGGAAATTATGTAATTCTTACGATGATTATTCTTGCCATATTAATCTTACTAACATATGTCAAAGAAATTTTGTTGTTTTTCCTCAACGACCTATTCTTCAAGGACATGTATTATTCGTTTATTTAACAAACAAAATAATCTTTTATGATTTAAATGAACTTTTAATATTTCCTGATTATGTTTGTTATGATATAAGAAGATGTCCTTTTCTTCCATCTCTTTCAATTTTAAATATAAATGGTACAACTTGTCGAACAACAAAAGAATTAGGTCTTTATCAATTTATTGATGTTGTTAATCTTTTTTACAGTTGTTTGATTACCATTGAAAACGAACTTAAAGTTAATTACTCACAATCATCATCATTGTTTCAATGCCCAGGTACAACAAAATACATTTCGAAACATCGAGTTCTTGATGGTGTTCAAGATTGTTATGAAGGTGCTGACGAACATGATATCGATACATGTCAATGGAATCATAAATATCGTTTTAAATGTCCATCTGAAAATAAATGTATATCAGACGTTCAGATTAAAAATTCTATAAACGATTGTCTTGAAGGTGAAGATGAAATTTTAAATTATACTAAAGAAATAGTATATCAAAAATTATGCAATGGATTTGTACATATGTTACCCGTCCTTATTAATGGAATTAATGAAACAGATGAAACAAATTGTGATTATTGGCCATGTAATAATTTATATACTCGATGTGATGGAGTGTGGAATTGTTTAAACGGAGCTGATGAATTAAATTGTGAGTTAAACAATTGTCCTCAAGATACTCATGAATGCATCTCACCAATAACACACAAAATGATGTGTCTACCTGTTCATCAAGCTGGAGATGGAATTATCGATTGTCTTGGATCTACAGATGAAAGAGAATTTTGTCGCTTAAGACATCCAAACAATCCTGGAATAAGATATCGGTGTTGGAATGAAAGTATTTGCATTCCAAATGTTTATTTTTGTAATGAAGACTTATGTTGGCACAATAAATTATATAATTGTTCAAAAGATCTTAAGAATTTTATCGGACATCTAAGTAACGATAGAAAACTTATATTTCCTGACTATGAACATTTCATGTTTGAACGTCCACAAGTAAATATTTCATCATTGTATATAAAGGGAGAATTTCTCTTGAATTCAATTCCGGCAATGTCTGATTTAGAACTACTTTCTAAACAATCGAATTCATTAATGAGGTCAACTACGAATCATGACAATAGAATTTGCAGCGAAAAATTTCCTACTAATCTATTTCCTATATGTGGACGTGGTATTCAAATTTATGCTGGAATATCGAAGACAATACATTGTCTTTGTCCTCCAAGTTATTATGGAGATGAATGTCAATTTCAAAGTCAACGTGTTAGTTTATTACTTCAATTTTCTCTAATTTGTGAAAGAAATTGTTCAGGAGTATTTGGTATTATTATTACTTTAATTGATCAAGATAATGTTATTCATGATTATGAACAAATAACTTATATAAGTGTACATAAATGTGAAAATAAATATTTTAATTATCTTCTATATAAATCAAGATCAAAAGATATGACAAAAACTTATCATATAAAAATTGATGCTTACAACAAAATAACCATGTCTTATCATGCTAGTTGGATATTACCAGTTAAATTTATTTTCCTTCCTGTAAATAAAATATCTGCTCATTTATTGATTCCTTTTTATCCAGTTTCTTCCATTAATAATTGTTCAATATTTTGTAATCATGGTCAATATTTAACATATGTTAATAATCAAACTCAATGTTTTTGTCATTGTGATTCAGGTTGGACTGGTATTAATTGTACAATACCATATAAATGTGATTGTTCATCTGATTCAATATGTCTTGATCATACGAATAATCAATCAATTTGTCTTTGTTCACTTAGAAATTATGGAAAACGTTGTCGACTTCTATCAATTTGTCAAAAAGAAACTTGTAAAAATAATGGTTTATGTATTCCTAATGATCAACGTGTTTCAATAAATTCTTATCTATGTTTATGTCCATTTGGATTTACAGGTACAAATTGTGAAGCAGTTGAATCAACAATATATATATCATTTCATCAAATTGCAATTCCACGTTCTCTTCTTGTTCATTTTATTACTTTACAAACAAGAGCTGATCCATTGATAACAACAACATCAACAAAAATTCCATATGATCAAGATATAATAATAATTCGCACATCGATACCATTTCATATAATCATTGTTCAAATTTCTAATCAATATTTTATTCCATATGTTAAAGCTAATTATAATTCTTCATTAATAACTAAAATTGAAATAAATCCAGAAAAACGATGTCCATATATTAATGAATTAGTTTTCAATAAAACAATACTGTCCTATCCATTATTGCGTCGTGTTAAATATTATCATTTACTTTGTAAAAATCTATCTCAATTAAAATGGTTTCATGATAATGAAAAATTTATATGTTTATGTAATGCAGAACAATATGCAAATTGTTTTCCATTTGATTTTCAACCAATATATACATGTAAAGGACTTGATGATTGTCAAAATGATGGACAATGTTTTTCAGATCGTCCATATTGTCCACATTCAATATATTGTGTTTGTAAAGATTGTTTTTATGGAAGTAAATGTCAATTTACTACAGAAGGTTTTGGTTTATCACTTGATGCTATTCTTGGTTATCAAATTCGACAAAAATTATCAATTAATCGTCAGCCAATTATTGTTAAAATTAGTATTGGTTTAACTACGATTATGTTCATAATTGGTCTTATCAATAGTTTTTTGTCAATAATAACATTTCAAAGAAAACAATTCAATGAAACAGGATGTAGATATTATCTTTTAGTTACATCAACTGTTTCATTATGTACAACAACTTTACTTTCATTTAAATATTTAATGTTAATTCTTTCACAAATAGCACTTATACAAAATGAAACAATTCTACAAATATCATGTATTTTAATTGATTTTTTACTTCGATTATGTCAAATAACTGTTGATTGGCTTAATTCAAGTGTTGCTTTTGCTAGAGTACTTACAGTAATCATGGGTACAAATTTCGATAAGAATAAAAGTAAACGAGCAGCTCGATGGGTTATTATTGGTATATTTTTAATTAGTATCCTTAGTATTTTACATGATCCAATAAATCGTCGACTTATTCATGATGAAGAAGAACAAAGACGATGGTGTTTAGTTCAATATTCATCTTTTCTTCAAACATATAATTCAGTTATAGATATAATTCATTTTAGTGTTCCATTTTTGATAAATATTTTCACATCGATAATTATTATTGTTGTTACTGCTCGAAAAAGCTTTGAAGCTCGAGAACAAGAAAATTATAGTATTTACTTAAGAAAACAACTTCTTACACATATGCATTTATTTATTAGTTCATTTATTTTAATTTTACTTGCTACACCTCGTTTAATAATTTCATTCACATCTGGGTGTATGAAATCATCTCGAGATCCATCATTGTATCTTGCTGGTTACTTTATATCATTTGTTCCACCATCTCTTACATTTATTGTATTTGTTTTACCTTCAACTGCATACAGAAAAGAATTTCTTGTGATAATTAGAAGCCTTCGAACAAATATTCTGCGAACATTACATATAAAGTAATTTACATTTCTTCTTGTTCGTTTTAAAAGAAATATTGACTCTGTTGAAAAGAATTCTTTTTATTTTCTTCAAGTAATTCTTCGTTTGAATTTAAAAATAAAACTAATTCAATACAAAGTACGAAATACTTCTTCATAATATATGATTTTTCGTAACAAGAATGATCACATACACTAACAAAGAAAAGATTCTTTTTCAAATAAGTATATTAATAATACAAGACGGTAATAACAACCGTTCAGATAATAATTTTTTTGTTAAAAAGTCGAAAATTATCTTTGAAAAATCTAACATATAACATGTTTGCTTTGGTTTTTATTGAATACATGTAAACAAAGTAGAATTGAATAGAAAACAGCCATAAGATAGATCTCTATGGATTTGATAAACATGAAACTATAATCCTAGTAAAGATTTAAAAATGAAATAGTATTTTAAGAAAAAATATTTGACATCTACTATCCTTCGGAATGAGAATGTACATATAGTACCCATTAGGGAAGATGTAAAGAGATTTTGTTTATTCTTTTTTCTGCTTCTTAATTTTAATCATACATTTATAGATATAATTTCTTCTATCCAGGGAAAACATGTGCATATGTATATAGCGGTGGATGACTAGATATCATGATATCATAGAACAAAGAAAAGGTATATCTAGTCATCAAAAGAAATATAATCAGTTACAAATGATATAGCTATAAGAGAAGAAAGAAAACAGAAAGAGACCTAGACAAATGAAATAGAGTGGAAACGATGTGAAGGGCAAGCCCGTAATACCCACCCACACCCACATCCTTGTTGTAACATCATTATCTTATGTTATGCTAGATACTATCTATGAGAAGTAACAACAGCATAGACTTTTAAAACCAAAAAACAACTATTTTCATGAATAAAGATACTATAATAACTGAAATATATCCTGACATTTCGTAAAATACACCATGTTAAGCTAATTTTCCTAGATACTGGAAGACTTTCGACAAATCTATTAATGGCGATGAGGATTCTATTGTGTATAACATTATATTTATATGTTTTGCATTTTGGTAATTGTTTTGGTTTTGAGGAATTTCATGTGTTCGGTGACGATGAAATTTTATTGCTGCTCGTGCTGAATATTTATTTTGAGAGTCAATAAATCGAAACAAATAAAATACATTAAAATAAAACACATTCAATGTAAAAAGAACAAACAACAGTTGTTTCGAATTGCTCCCTCTTTGTATTGCGACTGAAAATTTCTGAATCATAAATGATCACATCTAATTGGTTGCTTTTTTTCACCGAATATTTCAATTAGTGCTATGGTTCATTCTCATAGCGATATCTGTCACTCACCACACACGTTGAGTGTTAAATAGTGACACGTCGAAAATGATGGTCGTTTAAAAAAAATATCAATAACAATAGAACGAGAAAGTTCAAACGAGAAATTTTTCTGTCCTGTTTCGTCCTGTTTGAATCTCTATCTTTGTCCTGGCTGGCGGCAGAACAGGACAAAAATCGAAATCGCGTCCTGTCCTGTGCTCATTTCTGATTGGGTTACGTGTGGTGTGCTGTGTATTGTATGACGCCTGATGCATTAGTATAGGACATGTGACAAAAGAAGAAGAAAGAACAGTATTTTGATGTATGATCTGTAGCTGCTTTTTCTCTTAATAAAATTCAAATCCACTTAACTACTTTGCTCGATATAGTACTCTCAATATTCATGTAGCTGATAATATTTATGTGGTTTCTAAAGGTTTTCATTGATATAGTTGAGTTTTTAACTTAATTTAATGATCTACAGACTATAACAAACATATAAAGGATACTCTGGGAATCCGAATGATCCAGAGGATATATTGGGGATTCGAAGGATCCAGAGGACACTGGGATCCAAGGACCCACTTTTCCCCCTTTGGTTTTAGTTCCTTATTGGTTTACGGGAACCAAAAAAAAATAAAATTTGTTCGGTGACATTTCTCATTTGCTTTATTCTTTTTTCTTATTCAATTATAATACTTCCTAGCAGCCATGTGAGGACGGAGAAGGATTTGCATATACATTAACGGCTAAGTTGGAAAATTTTTCATGACATTCGCTTTTTTTTCTTTATCTTCCAAAATAATTATATACAAATGCGAAGAATATTGATGAGCTCCTCTTATTTTTATTCCAAAAAACAAAAATCACAATGTTTATATCATACACAGTAGATATTCAAATGAATAATGAACTTCCTACGATATTTTATTTATCAGCAGTGAAATTGACTAGCATGAGCTGAATGGCTTCTTATTAAAGTTTGTGAGAGGCTTCATATTTTCAATTGTTACTTGAGTATTTGCAGTGATTTCAAATAAAGGTTCATTAGATATGTAGTTAGATCTGTCAAGTAGCTTAATGAAAACAGAGCAAAAGATTTTAACATTTTCATTACTCTTAAATAAATGATTTTTTCATTGATTGATATCATCTAAAATTACATTAAAAATCAACCCTCTTTCCATATATTTTTCAAGTTTCAAGAACAGTACACAGACAAATAGGCGTTATTGTTGACCGATAGCATGAACTTTTCATTTGAATTTATATTTTTATGGTTCCCTTTTTTATCCATGACATCTAAAAAACTTGTAAAATCGGAACTCTTTTATGACTAAAGTCGCATATTAAATTAAGCGTTATGAAGCGTAATAAAATAATTCGATAGACGAATGTTATACATTCCTACTCGTTTGAAATTGGTGCTGGATATAATGAAAGTAAATCATAAGCGATGCAAAAAAAACTTATGCATTAAAATTCTATTTTTAGAGAAATAATCGGATAAGTTAAAAAGAAAAGTCTTATTATATTCGTAAAACGAAGATTAAATGCTTCTTCCGGCATGATGCCAAATAGGCCTACTTTGAGTCCTGCAAAGGGCTGTTTCTTTTCTCTGTTATTGCGTTATGGTTCTCCCCCCTATTCATGAGTCATCATGCCAGACGTCTACAATCACATACTTCCAATTAAAAACAAAATAAATATACTTTTCTATACTATTATTAGCTTATTTTACACAACTGTATCATTTCTCAGAAAGCAATTTCTAAAACTAATGTCTTGGAAGCTTCCAAATTTCATTCAATAATCTTTAGTTATTAGACCAATAACGAAAGCATCACGTTCTTACCAACGTGGAAGTTTCCGATAGGCGTCGAGCTTACATATAAATAAAATGTAACTTAAACGAAATCGTATCATATATTATGTAAAGATTTCTCTATATTAACTTGAATATCTTCACTCGTTTTAACTTGTGGAAAACGACCGACAATAACACAAACATGGAAGCAGCAGTGAATACTTTGCATAATGCTGCTGATGAAGGTGACCGAGAAGCAGCTCTCCAAGCAGTCGAAGTATTGCGACAAGAAATCGAAAGACAAACTTTACTTGATCAGCAAGCACAGCAAGTGGCAAACAACAATAGTTCAACTCAATCATCTAGTGAAAGTTAGCTTTGATAGTTGGCATCGAGTAACTTTTTATTAAAACTCATAACGAATAATACCAACATCTATTTTTTTTCAAGAATCTTTCTAATTTTTCTCAGTTAATGTGTAATGCGTATTTCATATTATTCTTCTGTTATTTAAAATTTTTCAATCGGCTTTTACATTAAACAATGCCGTCAATAATAAAGTTTTTCCTGCAAAGCATTTTTTTGCATATCTTATCAACTGTTAAATCTTTTCAAAACGGCCTGAATGCTTATTTTTCTTCCTTTTTCGAATACACTATTAGCATCTATCTCAATTCTGTCTATCAATAAAATGTACCTTGCACAACTTTTTTTTCAATTATGAATATTATTGCAACTTCTTTGAAGAGTAAGTTTTCTTTTTACAGAGTATGGAAGTACCAGTGGGTGTGAATGTTCATTTGATTCCTATCGATGATCATGTCTCCACCCTCAAGTTAATAGTGGATATCGCAATAAGTTGCTGAAGTATTGAACAAGTATATACACTCGAATCTATTTTAGTGATAAACTACTCATCATAACAATATCTACAAAAATTAAATCTATGAGCATGTGCGCCTGATATTTATTAATTTATCGTATCTCTTTCAAAGATGAATCTATCAACATTAGGCAATAGATATGTCAAGTACGAGTAAACTATATTTAAAAAAATAATAAATAAAATTTCAATAACTTGGAATCATTCCACAATTCAGTACACAGAATTAGGAGCTGAAGCGCACACTCTCACTCTAAAAACAGTTTTCACACCTATTTCTCACTGTAAAAAGACTACATACAGTAACACTATAAACACTATGACTCTTCGAGATGTGAATGTGAGTGTGAGCTTGGGTGTGGGTGTGTAGGCAAATTTGCGACCCATACCCCACACCCACCCTCAAGATCAACATAGAATCAACTAGTCAATAAATCATTATCTAATATAACCGTGATTTTTTGTTAGAGATAAGTAATCTAATCGATAAAGTTTTTGAAATTTATCAAAATAAAAGTGCAATAGTATATATGATGATTAATTTTTTTTCACTGCATTGTTCTGATTCTCATAATTTGATCTTGATCTTAGTTCTTTGATTCGATATATCTGACTGAGCCATTGTGTATTATTGGTACATCTATGCGCGGTGCGATCGTATGTATGTTTGTCATAAAACACCCAAAATATGTAAGCATGGTTTGCTTATTAGCCCGTATAGATAAGTTTCATAACATTTTATGAATACGTATCATTACTTGTTCTTATATATCCACTTGCTAAAATGGGGAATGAAGCATGTGAAATTGATTTGATTCAATAATTGCGCACCGGTTTATATAATGCTCTGTTACTAGAGATAGCAGAAGACCTACGTCGAATGATTCATACACGGACAGCGTATATGTCAAACTTGAAACTTGAATTCAATTGAAATTTCAAGTTTCAATTGAATTCAACTTTCAAGTTTGACACTACTGTATGCAGCATCGTATTTTTCAACCAGGGAGTATGAGTGTGGGTGCAGTTTTGGATGGTTCTAGAAAAGATCACACTACATCCATGCCAACCCTTTCCGTAGAAACTAATTTTACCGAGCCTCAAGACTTATGAAACATCCAGTTTAATGATAGAAATGATTGTTCATTATATAATTTATTTGTTGAATAAAAGTTTAGCAATGAAGTGAAGCTTGATTAATAGAATGTTTTATAAATGAAAAGATTAAAATAATAATTCTAAATAAGTGAAAAAATCGATCTCAGTAAGCAATAAGTAATTTTGAAAAATCTAATAGTAAGTTTGTCTTTCCATCCAGCCACCAGGATATTTCCGAATGAGATATTTCCGTGCTTCATCGGAGAGCAAAATGAGACAAACAAAGGGCGATGCCAGAAGCCAATAGCGAAATCTATTTTTAAATCGAGTTTTAAAAGCATGTTAGAAATTTAAAACTGTTCTTACTGGAGTGGATAAATATTGAGAGTTGTAGCAGAATATGGCATATAGGAAATAATTGCAGCTAGGATTATTTCAAATCCCAATACAATATTTAACACCCTATTGCTATTCAATTATAAATATATGCATTTATTTTCGAAATGGTTTAGTTTTTTTCAGTGAATTTACTTCATGCCTTGAAGTAGAATAGAATTTCGTCGAGTTTTGCATATGATCAATGCAACCCATTGGCAAATGACAATAGCGATAAAGAAAGCACCATGACATTTAAATTCGAGTTGTTTTCGTTGTTCATAGGTCTTAAAAAAAGAAATTTTCTTTATGTTGAATAAAAGAATAAATCTGAACCCATTCTTGGCCATAGGAATCTCGAAGATCATCGATATCTTTTGATTCCCATGATTTTCTCAGACCATAAAGGCGCGATGGTAAAAATCCGTTCTCCGCCATGATCACAAAATAGGTAAAGAATCCAGCAGCTGCTTGAATGAATCCAATTAGTCCATGAGTCGTCAATATAAGACTAGAAAGATAGTCAATATGTTCACTATTCGATTGACTGTGACATGCTTTTTACCGTTTGTTCACGAGTCGATCATGCTGTGGATCTCTTGGTCGTCTTTTCATAATATCTGTTTCCGCTTCTTCATAAGCTAATGAAATGGCCGGTATTATTGTTAACAGATCGATGCACAAAATAGTAGTGGTTCCTAATGCTAATGGTATATCCATTAAAAAATACATGAGAAGTGGAGTAATTTTTGAAATGTTCGATGTTAACATGTAGGCAATTGATTTTTTCAAATTGTCAAAAATCAAGCGACCTTCTTCGATCCCCGTTAAAATCGAAGCGAAATTGTCGTCCAAGAAAATCATATCTGCTACTTTTTTACTCACATCCGAACCTTCAATACCTGCGTGTATCAATCAATCTATTCGAGATAGTGAAAAAGAAGAAAAATACGAACGAACCCATGACCACACTGATATCGGCTTTTTGCAGAGCTGGTGAATCGGAAACGCCGTCGCCTACCATAGTCACAATAGCACCTTGTCGTTGACAACCTAAGCAGAGTATTGATCGTAGTATCTCTCTGTTGATAATATCATGCTCACTTTCAACAACAATGAGTTTTTGTTGAGGAGATATTCGTGCAAAAACAATATCTGTATGATTTCTCAAAAGTACGTCGATTTCAGCTGGTGACATATTCTTGAGATCACCACCATGAATAATACATGCTCTAGCTTCATGTGGATTGACTTGTTCTTGAGGAATGCCCAAACGTTCAGCGATCTCTTCCACTGTTTCTGTGTCTGTCGAAATGATCCCCACAGCGCGTGCAATAGCTTTAGCCGTGATTGGATGATCACCGGTTACCATAATTACTTTGATTCCAGCCGAACGACATTTAGCTACGCTACTCTCAAAAAAAGATTGATGTTGCACAAAACCATGCATAGTCCAGCAAGTTATGTAAAATCTACATATGGTTCCGTGAACAATTTATTAAACGATAAGCGTTTCGCTGCAAATGCGAAACCTTTATGTTAAGTAAATTACTCAGAAAACCATTTACACGTTGTGTAAAATCGTGTAGAATTTTGTGCAATGCCATATTTTGAGATTATGCGGATATTTTATATTACTCTAATAATTTTCAGTTCTGTTTCTCATCAAAAGTTCACCTTTCGAAACAGTTTCACAAGGGTTGTGAAACACTTGCAACTAATTCGGGAAAAAACATACAACAGAATCCGAAAGCGAGCCGGAGCGGACGGACCTGGAACGATCCAGTCGTATTGAATCAATTCTGAACTCATTTTCTGAGGTTTCACTCGTACCTGAAAAGTTTCATGCATGTCGGGTACTGATAAGAAACTAGTCAATGCTTTGTGGATGGGAAAGCTTCAAATAGACTTTTCAGATAGGTTTCTATTTCAGGTGTATAGTTACATAAATCAGCACTTCGTTAAATCGATGAATAGATAATTTGCTGGGTAATCACATCGATAAATCGATAGAAATAGATGATAAGGTAGTTTACCCTATCAGTTGGAAAGTTAGTCTTGAGAGTGAGGGTGAGAGGTGTGTGAAAGTTCAGCTGAAGCTAAACCATTTTCGATAAAACTTTTATGAGATGCAGTTCCAAAAACTTTGATGCAAGCTTCAACTCGAGCTCAGTCGACTGAATAAGAATGAAGTTCCAGATCAAACATTACTATTAACCTGTCGCACCTTCTTCATAGTATTCAAAACGTTTCTGGGCTGGGTTCAACGATCACTTTCAAGTTCGCTGTTTCTTACATCTCTAACCTAGGTTTCGGAATAAACGAGTCTTTGGATATTTGGCAAGTATTCCACAAAACCTATATTGTAGATGCAAGAAACAACAAATTTGAAAGTGATCCTTGAATGTGGCCAAGAACTCTAAAATGGAGATCAAGCTGGTCGATGGTAATTGTTGATCTGGAATCCATTCTTATTCGGTTGATTATGGATGAGTTGATGTTTGCGATCGCAGCTTTTTGAACTGTATCTTTGTTAAAAAAATCTCGTGGAAAATGATTCAACTTCACACCCATATGCAAATCGAAAACTCGGTTCGGCTATTTGATTTTTATACTACTAGTAGATAGATAGATATGTATATAGTTAGATAAACAGATATACACATATGAAATAGATAGTCTTCATCCTCACATTTGTGCTACAGGAAGAATTTTAAAAAAGAGTGGTTTCGTGCGAAGGTCTCTGCTGACTAAACCATTTAAGAATTAAGTATCTATACTCGATAGTCAAACCCTCGAAGTTTGGTATGGCGGGAATCTTTTTTACACAATATAAAACAAAAGTGAGAATGGTGGTCGTGCAAATAAAAATGCCTGCGATACTGACGCTTCAGGAACAGCTGCTCTCGGTACATCGATGATCGACATGAGACCAAGAAAACGAAGATTGTAAAGTGGAAAATTAGCTTCCTCCCCATCGAACTGATAGTCTTTCGGATAATCATGACTTGACAGACGCAAATCACAAAAACCCAATACCCGTTCTCCCAAATTGCCCAATTCCATATAAGCTTGTTGGAATGCAACTCGCCAAGCTGTAGATGTATCAAACATAATGTCAATATTCATCTACAAGTAAAACAGACACTTACAATCGTTCATTTCAACATCTGTGCCATTGATAAATATACTTGAACATCGTTCAAAAATTCGTTCAGGAGCTCCTTTCATCACCAGTAAATAAGGCCAAGAATCATTTTCACTTTCATTGTCAGTATATAATTCATGAATCGATAGTTGATATTTATTCATTGAACTAAATGGAATTTCACACACTTTTCGATTGATCTCACGGAATTCGATCGTATTGCCCATCTGAATAATTCAGAAATGAGGAGAGAATAGTCAATTAAAGAAAATCTACTGACCGATAGTTCAACACATTTGATTAAAGCCACTTCGGATGCATCACCATTGCATTGACGTTGTAACACTGGTTGCGCTAAATTATTCGGATCTTGTTTGAAATCAGCACGATTACACAACATGGCACAACGCGCCAGAGCCAACCAACCAGGTGTACTCTTGTCATAGGTGGAATCTTAATCACTCAAGTATAATTTTTCCTAGTTCTCACTCAATGAGAAAACACTCACTTTTTTGATTTTCAGTGGTATCTGCTTCGACAATCCGATTATCAAACCACATGTGAGCAACTGTCATCCGATTTTGTGTCAGTGTACCAGTTTTATCCGAACAGATAATCGATGTCGTACCGAGAATTTCTACAATTTCTAATTTTTTCACCAAACAATTCTTTTGGGCTAATCTTTCTGCTATTAATGTTAAATATATCTAAAGCAGTAATCAAACAAAAATTTCCTTTGTAATTCTTTTTCATCAGTCGCTGTTTACCGTCATAGTGGCGATGAAACCTTTCGGCAAAATGGCGATGGTAATACTAACGAGAAAAATGACTGCTTCGATGAATGGATAGCCGAGACTGAGTGCGACGATAAAGAAGGAAACGCCCACAAAGACTGCTATACCAGTGATGATATGGATAAAGTGAGTGATCTCTTTGGCAATTGGCGTGTCACCAGTGGATAGACTCGAAGCTAGATTTTGAATACGGCCCGTTATGGAACAATCGCCCGTACGAATGACAAGACCTTTAGCAGTGCCTGATTAATTCATAAAGGTCAACAACATATTGCACAAAAAATACTGAACTAACCGTATACCGCAAAGGTACCGAGAAAAGCCAAATTTTTGGTTTCCAGTGGATTGTCATTGGTATATTCAGTCGAACGCGATTGTGGTTCTGATTCTCCGGTCAAGGAAGAATTGTCGACTTTGAATTCATTTGATTCGAGAATGCGAATGTCGGCTATTCATGCAGAAAGTCAAATGAAAAATCGTTGTTTTACAAAAAGGAACAAACCGGGTATGCGATCACCATCATTGACTTCAATTATATCACCTACAACTAAATCGTCGCTTCTCATTACCTTTTTCTCACCATTACGAATAACAAGCACTTGCTAGGTTGAGAAAACAAGACGATCACATAATCGCGTGTAATCTATATGCTTACTTGTGGAACCCTATGCCACAACAGAACACTAATAAACAGGATTATTTCAAACAACTCATCTTACATGTTTTTGAACGAGTCCATGATACGTGAACGTTTTGCTTCTTGATAGTATGAAAAGTAGCCAGTGACAATCACTACGACCGTCAGTGATATACCGAGCCATAACTGAAATTTTTATAAGATGTAGATACGAAAAGAAAAGGGTTGATTGTACGTACATTATCGTTCGGCACATCTTCGTGATATCTGACATGTGTAATGCCATGTGCAATAAAACACAGAATAGCACCAATCAAAAGCAAAAGTGAAAAGCCGCCAAACATTTGTCTAAAGAATTTTAACCATTCTGGTTCTGCCGTCGGTGGTGACAACGTATTGGGACCATCACGCTCAAGCACTTTTCGAACTTCGGCATCTGATAAACCCTATGGGATGGCGATAAACGTTTCGCATCGAAGTAATGATTAGTCATACTCACTGTTTGTGGATCAGTATTATAGCGTTGATAAAGATCAACAAGATCCAGTTTATGCTCATCCTAAATTCATAAAATAAAAATCATTTTTCGATTCAGTTTTACTATGAATACATAACTAAAAAAGATACTCTGAAGATAATCAATAAGAGAAAATGAAACAAGATATTATTTGCTTAGCAAGATAGAAATTAGACCGACGTTTTTACTTACAAATTCAATATCTCGTTTGAGGTTGTTTAAATTATCTTCTTTCTTCTCTAACTTATTCTTCCTCTGTGGAATTGCCGTTTTCATTATTTTGCTTGATTTCTTTGTTGATTCTTCATCATTGTCACTGACGTTATTTATCGGTGACTGTCCGACGTCTCTCCTGCGAGCCTGTAGTTTTTTTTCAGAAGACCAAACACTTCAATATTTACAGATTTATTCGAGAAAAAACATACCATGTGAGGCTTTGTTTGTAAATGAATCTGATGTTTACACCAACAATCGTAGGGTTCTAAAATTCACAATTCAAAAACAGGTAGTCGCCAAAGAATGGATAAGCTTAATCATAGAAATCTGCACAGGCAAACAGACTCCTAATCATTGTCTAAGAGTCTGCTTTCCATCAAGAAAAATTCTACTGAGAATTCAAAAATCGCAGCAGAATTCAAACTGCATCACAAAGTATAGTGCACGATACGGATTGGTGAATTCAGCACTTAGATGATTATTATCACGTGATGGTCAATGAGCTAGTGCTGGATTCGACAAGCGTGCAAATCATAATTCCATTTTATATATTAGCGAAAGTTTATGAATTATGGCAGTTAGATATTCTTTTTTAATAAGTTGATCACTAATAATTGGGTCAAGTTAAGAGCATTGATTACTCTTCGTAATCCAGTTTTATAATAGATTACATTGCTATTGATGATTCTTCTCATTTAATAAACTCAGTATATTACGCTGATATTTGTTGGTATTGAACATTCTCGTGATGCTTATTTCTTGTGCTTAACATTCCGTGCTGAAAATTTCGTTTCCCTGCATCCATAGAGATCGGCTTTGCTCTGAATAAAAGGAGCGATAACCTCCAATTTCAACAGATCAGTTCTAATTTTATATAGGATTATTTTAACTGAAAAAGTTTATCAGCGTCACTACTATGCAATTAAAATGCGAAACTCACATATTTCTCACAATTTTTGATAAGTACTGAAAAAATAGAGACGAAGCGATTAAATGCGTCCAAACAACGCAATTCAGAGATTTACATTCACAATTTTGATCAAATCAATGGAATAAAAAATAACTGAATATCTCTGTAGCAGGCAGGTGTCTGTAAGGAAGAGATCCACCATCAATACAAGCAATAGTGGAGGGTAAACAAAAGTCTGTAAGAGAGAGAGTGCGTCATAAGACCATCCATGATCGTAGGAGAAACCTTTTTTATTTTTCGATTTTAATATCTCCGACAAAAAGTCCGGTTCAACCATAATCAAATTCAAAACATTGGACCATTTTCTTTTATCTATGAAGGATGTGAGCTCTTAAAATTGATATGTTCGGGTATGTTTAGTATTTTGATACTATCTCATGAACGACTTGACTGTTCGATCTGAACGATATGTCAAAAGATGTCTATTTAAATAAACATAACAAAATATCTGATTATAATTCATTTTAATCGCAATGACCAAAGACTAAGTAAATAGTAGTTGATATTGTATTTTCAAGTTTGATATTTTGGATTTGTTTATGGTTGAACCCGACTTTTTGTTTAAGATATTAAAATCGAAAAATAAAAATGATTTCTCCGACTATCATGGATGATCTTGTGGCACACACTCTCTCTCTCTTAAAGACTTTTGTTTACCCTCCACTATTACTTGTATTGATGGTGGATATTCTGTATTGCAGTTTGTGTGCCTGCTCGACTTTGATGTGCGTGTGCAGTGATGCACGATCAAAGCTGAAAGCAACGTGATGTAAATAAATAAATGATTACTATCGTACTTACACTTTTTTTTCTCTCAAGAAGAAGCAGAGAATCGATGACGGTAGGAGGCGTATGCATAGAAAAAAATATAATGCGTTGCATTTGCCGTGATATGTAACACGCTCTGTGACACATAAGAGTGTGATACAGAGACGCAACGGCGACACAATTTTTAGTAGCAAATGCAAAAGTTGTTTCACCCTGTGATACTGTTAGATATGTGTATCTTCACTTCTCTTAATTAGAAGCAAAATCAGAACTAATGCACAACTGATAGCTAGAGTGTAAACAAAAATTAGACGCAATATCTAGTTCTTACTACACGTCAGTGACACAAATGCAATGAAATTGTCAATCTGACTACCACATATGTATTGAGGGAGAGTAGACGAAGAAAATCGAACAGATGAAAGGAAAGAAAAACGAAGAAAAGAAAAGAAATATGGTCATAGTCAATTACTCTACTAGCTAATTAGTATGTCGGCAGAGCGAAAAAAGCATAGCGTTTTAAGCCAATCAATATCAAATGCACTACGTGCAGCGACCTCTTAGAAAATTAAATCGGCCGAGGATTTTGTTAATACTGGAAGATAGAAGAAAAAATTCTCTATCAAACTGTCCTTTTAGTTTTTTCTAAAAAAGCGATTGTACCAGAGAAATAATCAATATAATCTGACTAATCGAAAAATAGATAGGGTGGGTGTGGGTGTGGGTGTGGATGTGGGTGGAATATGGGTGTGCGTGTGGGATGTGAGTAACGATTTGGGTATGGGTATGGGTGTAGCTGTGGTTCATGAGTATTGGTTTGGGTATTTATCTTACCTTAACTCGCACTCATATCCACAAGAACACTAGCACCCACACCTACACACATTCACCCACACCTGCACCCACACGCACCCAACCACATCCACCCTCAATGAAATCGGAGAGGAAGGAGGACAGCAACTAGCTGTTGCATTAGAAAGTAACCTAGTTAATTATGAACTTTTTAGATTTTCTCCATACTCATCGTTATTGTTTTACATAGACTTTAATTAGGCTCATTATAAAAAGTAATAAGAGCGGTTGTTGTGCAGCTATTGGAGGTACGATTTCAATCGGAAACGATGTGGTTATCATTCGTGTGCCAGACTTTACTAGTCGTTTATATTCGATTTTCCATTAAAGACACTCACCATACTAGATCTCCATGGTATTAAAATTGAAGACCATGGAATGCAACATTTGGCTGATACACTATGCTATAACGAGGTAAACAATGCATCTTTAGTATCATTTTTTTTTCTACATTTTTGGTTTCTTCACATAGACATTAGTAACAGTAAATGCTGCAACTAACAATATTGGAGCGAATGGAATAATGCACTTAGCTGATGCAATGAAAACTAACAGAGAGACAGATCGATGTTTCTTATTTCTTATATATTCATTTTATTTTTACGCAGGTACTTACAACACTAAATTTTAGAGATAAGAAAAATGGAAAAACCGAGACAGAACATCTGATAAATGCATTGCTAATCAATCAAGTAGCCCATCGTTCTTTTCCATTATTCTTACTTGTTTCATCACTATTTTATATAGACATAGACTACGTTATATCTTCACAAGACTCAAATTAGAGATAATGGGGCACGGTATGTAGTGGATATATATTACGAACTAATCAGTTAATATCTATATCTTTCTGACTGCCTCATATTTATCGTTACGCATTTGAAAAGATACTTACAACATTAAACCTCCGTGTCACTAACGAGGGAACATTCCCAACTGTCACATCGCTTTTGAGTTGAGCATATGTACATCATATAGTCCCTAATGATCTATGAATCCTCTGAAAAAAGTTCGTACTGCTAGCTTACTACTGCCGAGATACTGCATTTTTACTGTATGTTTAAGCAAAAAGCTGTGGTTCCCCTCAGGAATACTAGGAAAACTGAGTTTTGAATTTCAACTTGAAACTTTGCACAGAGACAGGTCTCAATGAGAATAATTTATTGTGAAACTTTCAGATCTTTTGATTCCTCCTAGTTAGAAATAAGAACATCGGAATCTGCTGGTGTATATAAGCGATTTTACCATAGCTGTATTTTAAGATAGGAACAATGAAAAGAGCTGAAACTTTCACAATAAACTATTGTCATTGAGGCCTATCTCTGTGCAAAGTTCCAAGTCGAAATTCAAAACTCAGTTTTCCTAGTGTTCCTGAGTGGGACCACAGCTTTTTTCTTAAACATACTGTAAAAATGCAATATCACGGCAGTAGTAAGCTAACAGCACGAACTTTTTTCAGAGAATTCATAGATCATTAGGATCTACATGATGCGCATACGCTCGACTCAAAAGCGATGTGACAGTTAGGAATGTTCCCTCGTAAGATCGAAATGATTGGAATGAGCTATATTTCTGATGCTTTACAAAATAACAAGATGATAAGATAATTATTTTGATATTTAATATTTGTGTCTCGACTTTTTCTTTCATAAATTCACTCACCACTCAATTTTTAGGATCAAGTGAGATCGGAGACAAATGAGCCGAATATCTCGCTATCCCTTTACACAATAATCGAGTATAATTTATTGCTTATGAAAGCTCTGTATCTACCAGCACTTCTATATAGACACTAACCACACTAGAACTTCTTGGAAATCGTATTGGAGATTGTGGTGCACAACCTCTGGCTGATGCCTTACGATCTAATAAAGTATTAAGGACATTTTTCTTCTTCTTTCTCACGTTTACTTCCACTTTCTCTACATAGAAACTGTCGATACTGCATCTTCAATGCAATAACATCCAGGAGGAGGGCATGCGACATCTAGTTGATTTATTAACAACTAATGAAGTGTTCTGAGAACTATTTTTAGGTAGTATTTCTAAGTTATATCTTTATTTGATACAGACACTTACGAGTCTTCACCTTGCTCAAAATCCAATTGATAAGAACGAAGTCTATAATATGATTGATGTATTGCAAAATAACAAGGTACGTAATCAATCATTGTTGCTCTCGTAAATGTATCTTCGATTTTTGCTACAGATACTAACGATACTGGATCTATTACAGAATAAATTCTGAAATAATGCAACACAACGACTAGGTGATGCCTTTAAAAATCACTCAGTAAAAAATTACAAATCTTCCCGATAAATTTTTTATATATCTTCACGGTTTTACATAGATACATCATGATCTAAACGTGAAAACTTAAGTGATACGCTTACGGTGGAAATTCGTTTAATAATAATAAACAATATATCAGTCTATATCTTAGTAAACGATTGATATGTGTACCGTTATGCACTGAAATAAAAAAAAACAAGATTATTGATGATATATTCACAGAGGATGCGGTGTGGGGTGTGAGTGTAGATGTGGGTGTGGGTACACTCAAGCAAAAGATAAATACCAACACCCGCTTCTACACCCACACTCAACCACTCAGACTCACACCACACTCACACCCACACCCATACAACCACACCCATACCTGCATCCACCCACACCTAAACTCCCTCACAACCAAACCCACCCAAACACCCCACACCTACACACCCACACACCGAGACCCACACCACCACACCCACACCAAACCCACTCCACCCACACACCCACATTCACATCTTCTATTAAAAACTCCTGGCGCTGCTGCTAGTCTTTTTTCGTTGAAACCTTTTCAAAGAGATATAAAAAACATTCTTTTTCTGTGCACTATAACTTGAATTCTATTTATGTAGTATAAAATAAGTAATAAAGTGTGAATATATTTTCTTGATTGAATGATATAATTATTTGGAATTATTTTTTGAAAAGTGTTTTAATAAGTACTGTTGCCATGTCACTTGTACTAGATAATGATTCCACAGATTTCGATATTACAGTACTAAGTATTCCACAACCACTATTTTTATCCGAAGCATTTGCTATATTAAATACTACCATTGGTGCAATATAAATCAATTCATTAATTGCATCTTGTTTAACTGCAGAATCTAAGTGTGAATATCTTAAAGTTGCCATAATCACCGGACGACAAACTCTTAGAAGTAATGCATGTGTTTCATTTTTACATTTTTCTAATGGTAATCTTGTACGATATAAATCTTTTAATTGTGGACAAACATCATTTAGAATATTTTCCAATTCACAAATATATCGATCATAGAAATGTTCTGCAAGAATATCTGATGCTTTATCAACAAGTTTTTCTAATTCAATACTTAATTTTTCTCGTATTTGATTGTCAATTGGGTGTGCATTTAATTGAAGCTTTGTATAACCATGTGTTTCAAGCATCAAGTGTTCAATTTGATGTATTTCTTTAAAAAAGTCTTTAGTAAGATCGACAAAAGAGTTATGAAATTTAAGTTTGACATCATCAATAAATTTTGTACGTTCTTTGGTAATAATTGTTGTATGCCAATGGTTCGCTTTAGAAAAAGTAGGCTGAAAGATATGTTTGTAGTAAACTTGATCCCAGTTTTCAATGTTTTGCTGTTTAATATATTCATCTATTGAGATATCCAAATTTTGTGGTAAAAGTTGTTTTTCTTTGATTTTATCAAGGCCTTCTAACACATGTCGAACTAATCGCATTTGTCCCAAATCGGTTAGCTGTTTCAAATGTGTTTTAGGCAGTTCATATTCGATAAATTTTTCAAGACCGTCTTTACTTCATTCAAATCCTTGTGCTAAATCATTACTAAAACTATGTATTTTACGATTGATAATACGAAATTCTTCAGTATTTTTGTCGAGAATCTGTAATCGTGGACAAGCAACATAAATATGTTCTGGTTTAAATTTTTTCTCAATGAGTTCATTAAAAGCTTTATCATAATGATCTTCATAAGTTGCTGGAGTTTGACAAAGATCGAGTTTTGTGATAATACCAAATGCACGTTGCATTGCTTCAAAGTGATTTTCTTGAATTTCCTGAAGAAGTCGAATTTGTGGCTGAGTCAGACTTGGTTGTTGACCATTGGTAAGGAAAAGAAAAGCATCAGCTGTTTTTATAGCTTGTAGACCAGCATCACGATGTTCTTTGATGGGAGAATCAAAACCAGGAACGTCGAGGAGTTCATAATTCTTACCTGTTAAATACAAAGAAGTAGAAACAAAATCGATTTTATTGCTTATAACGTGATATCTTCTTATCACTGACTCTGTACTACAATATCTACTTTGATATGACGAATACCATCAATGCGCTTTTGTGAGGACGAAGCGTTGACAAAAGTAGTGAGTAAACTTATGATGAACAAAAGGGTCATTGCAGAGGATAAATCCTGATCTGTAGTACTCATCTCATCAAATGGTGTATCTCCTTTAAATATCTTGTCAATTGGCTTTCGAAAGAACATTCTCAACAGTCGTTGTATACTTGATATTAAAGGTGAAGAAGATTTTAGATTAATTGGCGTATATGCATCTGATAGTAAACATGGTCATGGGATAATCTCTCCCATTTCTTATCTAAGAAATATATTATTTATGGTGCTTTTAATGTTCATATCATGCAGGATGGAAAGAAAGCTAAAATATTACGTCAATGGGCTGATGAACGATTTCTAGCTCAAACTCTACCAAATTCTCCAATGTTTTTAAGGTCTGATAGAGTAATCGATTATGCACTTGTTCGAGATCTAAATCTTGATATTCAAGCATATAATGGAAATACAACCAGTGATCATCTTCCAATACTCTCTGTTATTCCCTTGAAAGTTTTACAAAAAAAATTAGGAAAAAATACTCATTGGAAAGTATTTTCACTTTTTTTCTGAATATACACTCTCCTTTTGAGAAGAGAATTGGAATCTCTCTTCTATTGACATTACATATAATGATTACATCCGTTTTTTATATCTCTTTTCTGCTCGTTGTGCAACGTTTTTTATTTAGATAAATATCGTTCAGCTTTACCTGTTGAACTAAGATCATTCTTATCCTATATTATAGCTTTGTGTTTTAAACAAATAAGAATGACATGTAGCATAATAAAAAAAAGGAGATATGTTTCTTAAAAATAATTGCTAAAAGGGAACTTAATCCTTTTTTTCCTCCTCAACTTGATAATTTTCTTCATCTTCGTAATTCTCCTTCTTCATCATCTAACTCATTTTGGTATAGAGGTAAACGTTTCCTCAAACCATCATTCTCTTCTATACATGCTTTTATTGATTCATCAGGACAAATTGTCAAAGAAAGTGATCTTATGTGTAATGTAGCAGCTGATTATTACGAAAATTTTTTTAAAGCATCAAATATTATTAGACCTCACCCTTATACTGAGTCGCCTCCTTTTGAATATGATAATAATAATGAAGTTATTCCTGAAGTAACACTAGATGAACGTATAAATACAATTCTAGCTAAAAAAGAAAGAAGAATCTCTAGATGCTCATGGTATTTCGAATTCTATGTTTACTTTTCTTAATCTTAATTATTGGTCTCTATTAATAAAACTTTACAATCCTTCTTTTCAAAAGTCAATTCTACCTTCTGCATGGAAAGATACCCGAATGATCTTATTAGCAAAAAAAAAGATTTCATTTTTCCACCGTCTTTAACTCGTCCTATTTCACTTCTCGATTCATTTCAAAATTCTTACTCGATTTCGCGATCTTTTATTTAGAAGAGGTCTTTTACTTAACAGTCAATCCGGATTTAGAGAACGCTTTCGTTTACAAACATGTTTACTTCTCTTTCTTGAAGATATATATATAGTCTTATGTCAGATAGGGCTCCATATTGTACTATTTTGTAGATTTTCGCGCTGCTTTTGATCAGCTGTGGTTTCTAGGTTACATTGGAAAATTGCGAAATTTGGGTATCCCTTCATCTTTTCTCAATTGGATTGAATCATGGTTAAATAACAGACGTTGCTTCATAGAAATCAATGGCAGTAAATCTCGTTGCTTTGCTATCGAAAGAAATAGCCCTAAAGGAAGTGTTTTTACTGCAACATTATTCATTACATATAATTGTGATACTGGTAGTTCCCTATCTGGTTGCATAAGTCCCTTCTTTGGTGACGATTTGGCTGGAATTATGGCTGTTCAATTAGGAATAAATTATTCGTCTCAATGTCTTGATTTGGGAAAAAAAAGTTAAAGTTTTTCTTGATCAACTTGAATATTATTCCTGTTTAACTGATCAACCTATTAGTTTCAATAAAACTGAAGCTATGTTTAGTGCACGAGCAATCGGTCATTCTAATTTCGTCATTCGTTTTTGTCATGAAACAAAAGAAATAATTAAATGGGTTCCAGAATATAAGTACCTTGGTTATCTAATTTCATTAAAGTCAGGTTGGGTAAATTTTTAAAATGTATGAGGACCAAAATTAGGGGAAGAAATTCCTTGATTAAATCTTTTAAGATCTTTAGTTGTTCTTCTCCATATCTTCGCAAGACTCTTTTTCTATCTTTTGTATTACCTATTTTTACCTGGATCTATCGTCTTCTTTCTGAAAAACAACAACAAGATTTATCTCATTTTTATTATACTTCGCTTAGGCGTGTATTGCATTGCCTTAATTGGAATGAAAGTTTTTTCGCATTTGCTCTTGATGAAAAGTCCCTTGAAGACAGATGCCTTTCTTATTGGGAGAAATATCTCTTAGCTCTAGCAGACTCAATAGATGATGAGTTATTGTTTGAAAAAGCTAATTTGAATATATTCAGACAGATTTGAATTAAAAAACAATTTTCAATTAAATGTCTGAGAACATCAAAAAGATATATTCCACACCATTATTCAATAATCGAAAAGTTGTTGGTTGGATGGCTTCTATTTTCTCTCATTCTTCTGTACCTGTTGATGAGATCGACGAAAGCCAACTCCTTGAGGATTTCCCAGAATCTTTTGTTTCTATGTGTTAGTTTTTTTTCTTATAGACCTTACTATCTTGTTTTATAATCTGTTGTTATGATTTTCTTGTTTTGCTGTTGTTGCTATTTTTTTTTCTGTTTTTGTTGTATCTCTTTTTTCCTCCTTTGTTTACTCATATGTACTGATAGGATCTTAGGATCGGTTTTTTTCAATATAATAAAAAAATATCTGTCTTATGCTCATTTGTATCTAGGAATGCATTGGTGAGACTAACAGTGAAGCCTGTGAGTACATGAAGAACCTACGGTGATGAACGGTGGTTTTCACCGTAGGTTTCTCAGGTGTTCACTGGCTAAACCGCTCTTAATGGTGATAGTTGAAAGTGCATCGCTAGTAGTATAATTCCATTCTTCTTCACTCATTAATAATCTTTTATAGTAAGTTTTTTATCGTGATACACACTTCTCAGACACATTTTTTTGTAGTAAAATAGAACAAAACTAGTTAATGGTATGAAAAGGAATGCGACTATTAGAGATCTGGTGGTTCTTTTGGTCTCGAACCTAGCCGAATCCACAAAAACATGAACTCGCAAGTTCGTATTATCCATTTCAAAATAAAATGCACTCGGTTGTTTGTTGAACAACTCGGCAACGCTGACAGCTATTGAGCTCAGGTTTTCACCATGAGGAAGAGCATGAGTGGAGGTAAAAGTCTATCCGAGAATCAGAATATTGAAAACTTTTCTAGAGGGTTCTAAGAATTTTCTGAAAAATTACTGTCTGATTCGCTTGACTAGGGGTATTTTCAAGTGAGATTGAAAATTCAATATCTCAAGAAACGATCATCTTTTTTGGCTAAAAATTTTAGAATATCCTATGGGTCATTAGATGTATTCATGGGCAAATTTTCAAATCAAAATTTCATACTTTCATTTTTCGGTCAATATTTAATAAAGTAGGGGGGAAAGTTCAGTAAAATGGTCATAAGTTTTTCAGAAAAGGTCAAAAATGTCTAAAAATTTCGGGGTTAATAAAGCAGATATTGAGTTACAATGTGACTAAATCGAAATTGAGAATATACTTAATCAAGCGAACCAAAACAGTAATTTCTCAAAAATTTCTTAGAACCCTCTAGAAAAGTTTTCAATATTCTGATTCTCAGGTAGACTTGTACCCCCACTCATGCTCTTCCTCATGGTGAAAACCCGAGCTCGATAGCTGTCAGCGTTGCCGAGTTGTTCAACAAACAACCGAGTGCATTTTATTTTGAATGGATGGTAGCTACTATATCTAGTTTTTCTTTCATTCTTGTTTTTTCCTAATTTATTTTTCTTTGCTTTTCTCATGTTTCGTTCTTGTTTTAAATCAGCCATTTGTCTCCTAGCTCACTGTGTTTCTGTAGGACCATTCTGATCATTAGGATAAGAAAACTCGTTTGATATTGTGCACTAACAGATTGATAAAATTGAATGAACTATCGAACATGACAAATGCAGGCAGGAACTCACTAATTTTCAAAGCGTAGTAGCGAAGCCAAAGATAGACTGATGGGCTTCAGCTTCATCAAGAAATCTTCGATCACCTTCCTAGAACTTTTTTCTGGTTCCGTCACTATCAAAACGCAGACAAATTTAGTTTATTTTCTTGTTCTAATTATTTAAGAATGAAATTTTTTGAGATCCAAATTATACACACTTCGAAAGTGAAATAATCTAAAATGTAAACAATGGCTATAGCTTAACACTGATGTAAATCCTATATTTTTGGTCATGTCGATATCTAATTATAGCTGACTGGTTTGATGACTCTCAATTCATTCTTCTTTTTCAATAAATACCTGGTAGTCTGTCTGTGTAAATTGCAATTTCTTTAATAATATTAATATACACTTCTCCAGTTATATATTTATGTAATTGATCCATAATATCCACACGTTCTCTATTTTCATCGATTCGACCAGTAATATAAAAACGTTCTTCAGGACATTTTTCTTTCAAAATTTCTCGTTCTTCAATTACTTTTGCTTTACGTTGATCGAATTGTTGTTGATTTTCATCTGTTTTCTTTGTCATTTTATCGAAAAGTACACCAAATTCTTGCTCATCATAGAACTTGACAGTTGCAAACAATTGTTGGCCATCATCCTCAGATGTTGGTTTTAGAACGGTGCGTATCTGTGTACATCGCTCACTTGCTGTTGGTAAAAGTTCATAACCAAGAAGTGCATTAATAAATGTTGATTTACCAGCTTTTTCTAAGCCAACAATACAGATTGTATGTGATTGTTTATTATTTAATTCTTTTAATTTCAATAGATTCTTCCTTATATCATTGATATTAGTATCTGCACTACCACTTTTGGTTACTGTATCTACAAACTGTAAACATTGTAAAATTCGAAAATAATCTTGAAGTAATAAGTTGAATTTTTCTTTTATTTCATCTCTTGTAGTATTCCCTAGACTGAAAGGATAGGGTCTAGAAACCGTAATTCACCTGTGTCTGTTTGTCCGTCTGTCTGCCGGTCTGTCTGTCTGTCTGTCTGTCTGTCTGTCTGTAACAAGTGCTTGGTACAAAATGACCATTTCCGTGGCAAAAATGACCATTTCTGTGGCAAAAATGACCATTTACGTGGCAAAAATGACCATTTTTATGGCACAAAGTACCATTGTGTATGGCAGAAATAACCATTTCCATGGCACAAAGTACCATTTTGTATGGCAGAAATGACCATTTCCATGGGACAAAGGTCCATTTCCATGGCACAAATGATCAGTTCCACGGCTGCAATGGTCATTTGTAATGCAAAAAAAAGCTGTTTTCACGCAAATTACGAGTCTACTGACCAAGAACTCTTTCACCCTAAACAATGCGATTGTTTTCGCGTGCATGTATGGAAGACACGGAAGTGATGTGAAAACCCTTTGTGCTTCATTGAGTTTGGGTTCTCAATCTGAAGTTTATGGAGAACAGTAAAAAATATGAGGATGTGTGTATCACGGTGTTTGAAAGGTTTTTCAGCAGTGGAGAAAGGTGATTTTAGTACACATGAAGCCCAGGCTTGGAAAAGAGACATCGTAGTGTTTAAATTGTGAGCAGTAGAGCATAGTTAGTGGTTATGTACTACCATCAAGACCAAGAAACATGTCGAAATATATCTTTCGAAGATGCTGTCCTAATGGTTTTTAGGTACAAATAGTATAATGTCAGATAGGATGCAATAAGTAGAACGAACGATGAAAGAGCATTTAAAACGATGACATGAGTAATTTATTTCGAATATTAGAAAATATGAACCGTGCTCGGACATGATAAACTTGTAAATGGTGGCAATAATGCAAGTTCAAATGTCTGACTGGATGATCGGCAACATATGAACAGACATATTTGGCTTTAATAAACAGCTGAATATCTAGTAGCACTCAGTAAGACACGCTTTTTTTTGATTCGGTGGATTCTTTCCAGGTAATGTGGAGCAAAATGTCTTAAAGCACGTTTTTCGTACAGCTTCTACTCTGTCTGTGTCTTATCCCTGATGTTTGTGATGGTAAATAAAAGAACATGTATAAATCTGATGTCAATCGAATATACGAAATATTTCTAGTTGCCCGTTTTAAAAGTGAATACACGTAACTATAAGCAACTATGTCGTTAAAACAAGTGGTGTAAAAGAATGTTTTCAGTGACTAAAAGATTATATTATCTGTTAGTTTTATTCCCATCGCTTTTTTTCGCTGAATCCTTTTACTTCATCTCATCTTGTTAATGTCACTCCAATCAAGTGGAACATTCTTCTCCATAGTGAGAATTTGAATGAGAATGTTTGGTAGTGCAATGTACTAGCAGTTGCCTCATTTTCTCAGTATAGGGCCCAGTGAATCGACTTTTAACGTCGATGAACCTTACTTGTCATCAACTGTTCGTAAATAATTATTCAACTCATCAAATGATTCACGTGAGAGTATAGTATCACGCGCTCTCTCTAGTTCCTTGTATACACTATTAATTTTACGAATTTTATCGCTGTTATCATCATATTTAATATTTGTTAATTCTTGATTTTGCCATTTTTCAGCTAATCGATGTTTAAAATGATCGCATTGTTGCAAAAATTCATCGAGAAGTTGCTGAAGCCAACGATCGACTAAAATGAATACAAGATTGCTCTATTCCATAATATTAGACAACAGCTTAGATTAGATAGTGATCGAAAGAGAAATCGTGATATCATGGCATAGTTTGAAATTTTAACTTTTATTTTTGTGTACTCAAAAAGTAAGTACATTCTAGAATAGGTCAGTGGGTCAGGCCGTCCAGCCGTTTACATAATAACTTTTGAAAAGAGAGTCCAATCGCGATGAAATTTCTTACATAGTTTTGTCTCAACAATATCTCGATCGAGCTCAAATGTGAGATTGATTGGCCAAGCCATTGTTGAGTTATTGCAAAAATAGTCATTATTCCCTTTGCTTTCCTATACAAAGATTGACCTATCCCCGTTTTCGTAGAAAAATTTTCCTATTATAATCAAATAAAAGTCCAACTATTATATACTATTCGATGGAGAATTTCACGAGCTACAAAATGGTATATAAAACATAAAGAAACAACAAGGCTAACTCACCTATTGCAAAGATAATTAAACTGAATTCGGTTCTTGTTCACGCTCTAATTGATCCACAATTAGAACTCTACCTTTCGGTTACAGAGATAATAGTTCGAGGTTTTCTGGAGTAGAAAACTCGAATCTGTGTTTCGTTTGCCTCGAAATATTATTGGTTGAGCAGTAAATAATACAAATCCAGTGTTTATAGAAAAGGTTTACCTGGATCATTTTTATGTCCACATATTCTAGGATGATTCATCTGTCTCATTCACTTTTCGAAGTACACACAACTCTCGGATATAAATCTGAGCTTTTCACATTTATTTGTTATTCGAAAAAAAACTCCATCTTTACAAAACCTCACAGTCCAGAGATGAAATTGATCTGAGTTTGTACCGACTGCTTGTGCCACTAGTTCTATCTCTGAATAGGGATATTTAACATAGTGAACTTTCAACAAAATGTCATTACACAGCCTGTATGAGAAAATACGATGAAGAAGTAAACAAAGATAGACCAGTAATGCACCTTCTACCGTTGATTGGATTAGAACGAATCGAACTCAGTCAATTTTATAAATGCCTAGGACATAGGCATTCTGATCAAATCACAAGAATTACGATAAAATCCCATCAAATCTGATAAAATCCGATAGTTGGATCTGTCACCTTGTGTGTTTCGAATTCTACAAGACTATACTCGTAACTTTGATCCAAAATATCAATGTTAGTCATAAAATAATCACTAGTATTTTAGCTTTAAACTATTATAAAGAGTACACTTAACGTCATCATATATCTAGTTTTGTGAAGCCGAAAATTCTCTATTGAATGATAAGATATTTGGTCTATAATAAATAAAAATATGTGATTCACATGGAAAAATGTCATGTGCAACAATGTCACATAGACACTACCAATGCAATCTTTATAGTTCTTTCCTTATCAATATAAAGATCTGAAATTTCGATTGTGAGATCTAAAGATGTAAGAATTTTCGTTCCTAAGGGATGTGAACACATATGAAAAATCAGGTAATGAAGTCTTTATTAGTTTTCTCTTTCTATTAGAGAAAAGATATTTGCCGAAAATGATCAAATTTTATAAGCTTGATAAAAGAATTTCAGAGTCGAGGAATCCAATTCTATGAGTGAATTTTTGGGAATACAGGGATTAATTTATTCAAATACTTGGTATTTTGGAATGTCGAAGTCCACAAAATTAAAAAAAATGTATCTATGAATATAAAAAATTCACTCGTGGAATCTGATTCATCAATCCTAAAAATCTTTGTTTGAACTTTATAATATATTGTTATTTTCACGATTTGAGAAATGATCTCTGTGTAATAAAAGTATGAAACTGAATTTTTTTGTTACCGATGTACAGGTGACGATATATCCCAGTGAAAAATATTCTCTGATTTCAATCAGATTATTGTGCAACAAAATCCAATCCACAATCGTATTGATAATTTTGATTATGATCGATTACCATTTAACCCAAACTTGATGTTATTGCTAGCCCAATGGAAATTAATTTGATTAAAATCGGATTGTTCTGTAGTACAATTCAAAATTATCAATCGGTTGACAATTTGGATTTTACTGGAAAACAATCCGATTTCAATCCGTTTAATTTCCACTGGGCTGGCAATGGCAGTAAATTTGGGTTAAATGATGGTCGATTAAAATCAAAATTATCAATCCGATTGCGGATTGGATTTTGTTGCACAATAATTTGATTGAAATCAGAGAATATTTTTCACTGGGCGTAACCTCTCATTCCTAGTTTGGACACACTGACGTGTGTGTGGATGTCTTTTCTATTTTCTGACAAGTCACTATGAGTTCCCGGTTTGTAGGAACAGAACTCGAAAGGTGATATCCATACCCATTGTGAAATATTTTCTATAAAAAGACTTTTTGCGAATAAAAAAAAGAATTAAAAGTCTAAAATTAACTTATTACTTACCAAGATGTAACATTTCGAGAGGTTCCACTGCATAGTTTGCAATAATATGTATTACTTCCATTTTATCAACTTGAATTTGATGTGCTGCTGTAGATGCTGATTGCGCCCCTTGTTTATATGATGCTTGTAGTGCAGATGGTTGCAATGTTGAAGAAGAAACAACTGGTTTTGATTGCCGTGTTACAGTAGACGATTTTGCAGTCGTAGCAGCATTTATGGGCACATCATAGACAGAAGATGGATCTAATGTGTCCCATGATACTGGTTCTGTTGTTGACTGCAATAATGCAGAAGCAATTTCTTTATTTACTCCCTGAAAATTTGATGATATAGGTGAAGGTACCTTGTCTTTTCGTTCTACTAATGGGCTCGAACTTCCATTATAAAATGCAGATGTATTGTCTGCTGGACGTTTATCTCTCTTGAACATATTGTTTCTAAAAGGATTTAGATTCATCAGTGCTTTAAAACATTGAGTTATTGGAAGAAAATGGCCTTCCAAAAGAATAAGACTCCATAAATTAATACAATGTTACCTTTCTCGTTCTTATATACACCTACCTTGTTTTCTCTTCCATTTATATTGAAACGGAAAATGGCAACTTCTCTATATATTGCCTGCTTTTAAATAGATGTGTTGACAACAGACATTTCATTGCAAAGGGGAAAAAACCACATTGACACACGAAACAACATGCTTTATTTTTTTTTATTCCAAGTCACAAAAATATCAATATATATTTTTTCTTTCTCCTAATAAGAAGAAAATTAGAAATTTGTGTGAGTGTAAAAAACAGAGAGAATTAGAAAAATAACGACACCGCCCTATTAAGGTGAGTGGGCTGTATTTTGATTAGAAGAACAAGAAAAAGGAGAAAAATATTAAATTATTTGGTTATTATAAAACTTCGTTAAGAAAATTATCACGACAACTGAGTCACAATTACTCATTGCTCATGCAATAAAAAACAAAGATGAAAATAACTTCATGTGCATGGAATTTTCCCTACAGAAACATGATAATAAAATGGAAATTTCCTTTGATTTTGTTCCAAATCATTCATAACTTTCATAAATTTTCATTTCGTGAAAAAAAAACAATTTAATTGACATGAAAATCTTGTCGCGAAAAAACATCGAATTTCCATCTAAATCATGACATGGAAAAGGTAATTAACAAACAGATGCTTTTTTCTCGTCAAGTAGGAAAAAAGACGATTGAAATTAAAACAATTATCGGCAATCGTTGAGAATAAAATGATTTGTTACTGAAATAAAAAACATAATCGTCATTTATGAGTTGACTGTCGATACAAGATAAACTATATCTTTATAATAGTTATCGTTATATATCCTATAAAGGAGACTGGGCCAAGAGATGCACCTATCTAATATACTCTGTATCCTTGCGCTATATCACTCTTATTGTACATCACTTATGCATGCGCATGGTTCTCTTTCAATGAGAAGGATAAGGTGAAGGAGAGAAAAGAACGGTAGAGCATACGCCATGTTGATAACAGTAAGAGAAGCGAGTAACATGCACGAACGATATACACGTGCGTGAGTGATGTGTAACTTTGGGCGTAGAAGTGGAACAGTGTTGAAATAAAAGATCAAGTGATATCAACAGTAACGAAAATTGCATTGATCAAGAGAAAAAAGGTAAAGCGAAGATATTCTATATCAGTTCAATAATTTTCCGTTACAGAGACGTGTTAAGGAGTGTTGGCTTAGCATTCTCATTAGCATTGCGGGTGTGGATGTGTGGGTTCGGGTTTTCTCTTTATAGCAATGTACACCCACATCCACACCCACACCCGGGTTTTGACGCTGATAGAATAAACATATTTGTAAGCTTCTTAAGTAATGGCGAGAATGAGAAAAGCTTTATTTATTAAAAAAGTAAGTGTTGTTATTTTATGCAGAAAGCATGACTTTTATTTAGTTATATATTTTTTAAGTAGGGCTTTCAAATCTTTATCTCAAGGAAATGATTCAAAAAGAACTTTAGTATGTTATAGCTTTGTAGAGCTCGACGAACTTTATCAAATTTTATAACAATAACAAAGGAAATCTTTAATTGAATATTTTAATAACTTGTACCTTACGTCCTCAGGACACATCGTAGTGTGAACAGATATTTATCTGTTATTGATAAAATTCTCCATCAACGAAAATATCAATGCATGAAGCCTTTAACGTAGAGTAAATTAATGTCAAAAACGGCCTTAAGTAAAACACCATGCCTTCTCAGGATTTCTTTTAAAGTAAAAGCTCTACTTCCCTCAATATAAGTGAGATCCTATGTTGAATCTTTTCATCGGTACAAATGATTTTTGTCACATACCGTAGTTCTGACGTTTCAGACAGTTTTCGTCGTGGGTGGGTGTAGAAAAGTCATAACCCAACACTCCGATCAAAATCCACACATTTAAACCCAAACTCACACCAAAAATAAAAGACTATTAGATGCCTTTTAATCGATTTCACAAAGATTATGATTATATGAAGCATTTTTATGAACTTATTCTTGTATTTGGAAATCAATCAGTACGTGACATACATACAATCAAATGATTATCTTAATTGATTAGATGCATACAATTAATTTCTTTTAAATAAACAAAAAAGTTATTCATCTGGACAAATTTTAAAAACATTATGATTACCAAGATTTTTCTCAGTTGGTATTGGAATTAGTGACACGTCAAACAACGATTCAAACAATTTTTTTTGATGAAAGAGTAACTCTTAAGATATTTGAAAACCTTTACACGCTCTCAACAAATCACTAAAACAAATAAGAAATCAGTCGAATTCCAATCATTTTTCTTTTATGTGATAATCTTCCGATTTGCCAAGCTACTACATTAGCTCTTCAATTAGAAAATATCTGGCTATTTTGAAGCTTGAACGTGGAACTTCATTTTACTTACAATCACCATCCACATTCACATCCTCGCGAAAACAAAACATCTTAAACAGACAGTCCTTCTCTTAGCTAATAAATGTCCTCAAAAAAGAAAATAAACAGATCAACATGTTCATAGTCATTTTAAATTAAACTTTTATAAGAAAGTTCTATAAGCAGATTTCGCCTTATTAAAAATTTAAAAGGTTAGAAACTAATAGAATCGATCAACGAGTACTTAAAGCAGAAGAGTACCTAAACTATAAAAAAATCAGATTATAAAAATTGAAATGCCAAATTAAAATGTCCTCATTTACGTTTAGGTTTTAGGCTGATAGAACGAATTTAAGAAAACCAAGCATTGAACAACATGTTAATTGAGATAGCACTATTGCATAACCATTTAGTAAATCATTTAAGTGCAAAGAAGTATCTTATGATGTAATAGTAAGAAACACTTACAAAAATAGATTCGAATAATTTCCACAAATTAATAATCCAACCTGTTCATTTAAGTAAAAAATTTCTTTTTCCATAAATATATTAGAACAAAAGAAACTCTTCTCTTTTCTTTATACATGAATGTAGTTGAGCTTAAGAGGAAAACAGCATGGTCTTTGGTTTAAAAACAATAAAACAGTATATAAATGGATGACTTCAATGAAGTTAATCATAAGAATTCGATCTTAAATTGAAATTAAGAAATAGACGCTTAAACTTAATGTTCGACACAAAAATAAAATAAAATTCTTAAAATCTATTGCAACTGTTTTAAATAATGACTTTATGCCATATTTTCGTGATTTCCAAGTATTTTATTTCTCGATTATTATATGGCATAGTACTGAATGATTTTCTATCCTCGATATCTATCTGTCCAAAACACTCGTATCAAATTACATGAAATTCCTCGTATTACAAGCCAGCCTGAAAAGACAAGAAGAAAAAGAAAAAAAAAGAAAGAGTTTGAAAAAGCATTTATGGAAAGAAATAAGAAAATTGATGTGGGTGTTGGTGTTATCAAGACGAATACATCTGCCTACACTCATAGCTGATTATTCCTCTAAATAACCTAGACTCAAAACAATAAGAAACTTTTTCATCAGCGTTATTATATAATCTGAATACTCTATTGAAATAGGTGTGTTTTATTCGATGGAGAATGAGTTTCTAGATGCCGAGTGATAGCTGATAGTGCTTTTGTCAAATGCTTCTTCTCGAAAGATGAGAGCGTCGTTTGAAAGAAATAAAAAATGATATGTTAATTATAAATACTTTGGATGGAGCTTTTAAATATTTTCTTCTTAAAACATAGCTAACGTCAAGAGAAATAACTTTTTCCTTCATTAAAGTACGGTTGATAATAGTTTCAACATCTTTTATTCCACATTAGAATAGGCTTAAAATATTCGATTTTTAGATAAAAATACATCTTCCGATAGTAATAGCTTGCTGTTGTTTCTTATGAGATTGATGACATGATCTTCAACAAGATTATAGCCGTCTGTTCTTCTGTTTGCATAAGCCATTGTGTATAAGATATATGAAAAACCTTATAAGTACGCATTTATATTAATAGATCAGCTGTTAGCCGATCATTCAGATTTTTTTCTTAATGACATGACAGTTCGTTTTCATCTCACTTAATTTAAAAAATGAAATCGTCACAAATTTATATGATAAAATAAAGGAAGATGTCCCTTAGCCCACTTCATCATACGAAAAACAAATGATCCTACTCCACTTGATTAAGTTAGTTAAAACACGAAACATAAAGAAGGTGCTCAGATTGTAAATGAAGTGATTCAGCATCATATATTTCTATTTATTAATTTCCACTTGGGATATTTCTTTAATGGCAGATAGGAAGCCTGTTTTACAAAATATCTATGAGAACGAAAATTCATACGTCTTGTTCAATATTTGATACTCTTGTCAAAAGTTTTAAGTTGAATGAACTCTGCACGAGCTTGAAAATATTGAACTCTTAGATGATAGGTTTATTACGCACAAGTCATGTTTTTCTGTTCAAATTTTTTCATCAGAAAAGGAAAAAGAGAAATATGCAATTCTTATATTGTTCAGAAGTAAAAGTTATTGACGATTTGTATTGGTCGCTGTCTGTTCTACAGTTCGGATAATATTAGTAATCCCAATAACATTCCGACCCCGTATTCCAATAGTATTTACTATTTTCTTGATTAAATCGGGCAGTGTACCAAGGCATATAAACGGCAAAAAAAGTGGAATCAAATAGATAGCAAACAAAATGATATCCATTTGGTCGGCCATAAATGAAGGCATCACAGTTATTTGGATGAGTGATACTATCGTCACAGGCAGCCAACATGCCATGTAAAGTGATGAAATGATCAATAACTGAATTACCATTTTACGATGATTTCGCCACCGTATTATTTGATGGTGAGACATCTTTTGGTAGACCACTCGAGTTAACAATGCTAGATTTGCAAGCGCAATCATGAATACAGGAACAGCGACATTAAAAATGAAAT